CTACGCTTATATTCATATCACCGTGTTGGGAATTTCATTGCGAGTCCATTGATACCAAAATTAACGCTGTAGAACAAGTGTGGAGGTGATTACAATCCCAAGAGTAAAAACATTTTGTTGCTGATGGGCGCTCACGGCGAGTCATCTACGTAGTTATTTATTTGGTGCTGGTATCCCTATATGTTTCGTGACTTATTTTACTAATGTTCTTCTAGAGAATTTTATTGCGAACACGTTGGTACCAAAATGAAATACGTAGCATGAGAACTAAGGTCAGAAGAGTAAAAAGAGTATACACATTTTTGTTTTTACGCTTAAGCGATAAAAACGCAGCGCGCACATTCGGTTGGCTGAGTGACCTTTGCGGAGAGCGCGAAAGTGTTAAACTTGAACATTTGAGTTGCTTAAATTATGATAGTTATCATGTGAAATATAATTGAATCTATTATTTAAATGGTCTTTACTTTGTTCCCTAGAGTTTTTGAGTTGAGATGAGAAAGCCTCTGTGATTATTGGTTTCATGATATTAATGAGTACATGTTTGGAGTTGATACATAGTAATAACATCTTTTGAGAATATTGTAATACAGACAAGTTCCATTCCTTGTTTGGTATGTAATGATCTTGAATGGATGGTGGCAGCATTTCCTATTTCTTCTTCTACTATCTACTCTTCTACTTCTATCTACTTTTCTACTTCTACCTATCTACACCTCTCCCTCCACCCCTCTCTAAACTCTCACTTTCAACTAATGACCCTCCTCGCTCCTCCCACCTCTCTACCTCTCACCCCAAACCCTCACTAATTACTTCACTATTCATTCATTTCCTTTCATTTTCTCTTAGACGTTTGTGGCAGTGAAAAGTATTCTAGAGTTCTCTCTAGAGTTTCGGGTAGCTGATCAAGTTACGGCGCCTTGTAGTCGTAGCACCTAGGTAGTCAAATACCTAGGTTACAAGGTGTTGAACGAGAGAGGTTGCTGTAGGAACTCTGGGAGTGCTCTAGAATAGTTAGCTAACTGGGGACGGGATAACGGACTAGAGAGAGCTGTTTCCCCCGGCCTCGTTTGTTAACTGGGGGTTGGAATAATGGACAAGATAGAGCTATTTCCCCCACCCCCCATTACAGTAGGCTGGTGGTGTCAGATTCAGTGCCAGCGCAGTTTTCGATGCCATCTGTTTCTGTTCGGTGTGGGGATCTCCCTGTCCGTTGTTTAGGTGCTCGTAAGGTGCATTGGCCCTTTCGCGGTTCATCCCATTGACAGGGTGGTGAGGGGAAGCTTGTTATGTTTGCTCACGCCTGGTCCCATGATTTGTGGGCCCTTCGGGTCATTTCATGCAGCCTGTGGTGGTGTTGGGTGGTTCCTCCTCCTTTGGGGGGTTTGGGGCTGACAGGTCAGGCCTCTTCTCCTGCGCTCTGTCAGGTCATCTCAGAGTGGGTTCGCTTGGGCGTGGTCGAAATGTCTTTGTCCCTTAGGTGCGTTTCCCGCCTGTTTCTGCTCCCAAGATGGGACTACGCGGACCTCCAGTTCATCTGGACCTGTCCTGTCTGAACCCGTGGGTTTCTTGTCCCCCTCCTTTCCGATGACTACTGTACTCTGTCCCAGGTCCATCTTCTGTTGGAACCGGGTGCTTGGATGGTGTCTCTGGACCTCATGAATGCTTATTGGCACATCCCGATACATATCCTGGGTTCAGGGACTGGCTCAGTTTTGTTGTGGGGCATCAGGGTTACTGCTTTCGTTGCCTTCCATTCGGCTTGAATCTGGCACCTCGCGTTTTCACATGCCTACTTGGATCGTGGTGGCCCACCTGCTTCTGTTAGGTGTTCGGGTTCTGGCCTACCTCGACAACCGGCTGCTTGGGCTCCCAGCCAGTCCGCGTGTCTGCTCGCCAGGGATTTGGTTCTTTCCCAGCTCGCCAGGTTCGGGTTCTTGGTGAACTGGCGGAAGTCCCATCTGGTTCCCTCTTAGGTTCGGTTTTGGCTGGGTCTTGTATGGGATGCTCAAACTGCTTCCTTGTCTCTTTCTCCGGCGGCTCTGCTTCACCTGCGTTCCTGCCTTCGTCTGTTCCTAAGGGGCTCTCAGGTCACACTTCAGTTGCCTGAGGGTTTGTGTGGGAGCCTGAACTTTGCCATAATGGTCTTCGTCGGCTGTTCTGGTTCCTTCGGGGACGTCCCTTCCACCTCTCTCTCTCTCTTGCGACTACTGGATTCGGACTCCATGGGCTTTGCGTTGGTAGCTGCGTCGCCAGCTTCCTCTTCAGGTTTTTCGGGGTTCAGTGCCTTGGCTCTTACCTAAGCCCTTGCTTGATGTGTTCATGGACGTTTCATCTCTGGGCTGGAAATTTGTGGCCAGTGCTCATCAGGCCGGCTAGGGACAGTGGGGTCCGTCCTGTCAGTCTCACAGCACGGTGTGGGAGTTCGTGGCTGTGTAGATGTCGCACTGGAGGATTTGGGTCGATTGCAGATCGACAATGCTGCTCCATTCAGACTGTTCCCCGGTGGTTCAATGCCTGAACCACGGGAGTTCACTGCGGTCCTTGGCTCTTTTGGGGCTGGTCGCATCGGGTGACTCGTCTGCTGAGTTCTCATGGTTTAGCTCTCCTGGCAGTTCACGTTTGGGGGTGTCCATTGTCCTGGCGGTCAACCTGTCCCGGTTCATTACCCTTCCATGGAATGGACAGTCAATGTCAACTTGTTCTGTTGGCTCTGCCAGACGTTCGAGCCTCCGGAAGTGGATCTCTTCGCGTTAGTGTGGTCGAAGTGTCTTCTGGTATACATGGCGCCCTTCCCTGACTGCAAGGCTGTTGGGGGTCGAAGCTGCCAGGACTGGGCGAGGTGGGGTTACCTATACAGTACCTCTTTTTCCCGGTTCAGCTGTTGCTCCAGGTCCTGGAGCAACAGGACCTTGGAGAACCTTGGACCTCCAGAACTAGCCTTGGAGACTTACCAGGGAAAAGTTGTCCATCTGGCTTCTGGGTGGCCGGCCCAATCTTTATTTCAGGCGCTGCTTGCTCGGTGTCCGAACCCAAGAGTCTTCCAGCAGCTCCTCCTCTTTCAGCAGATCGGTTCAGCCCGGTATGAGGCTAGTTCGTTCTTCTCCTCGAGTCTTCGCATCTTGAGTTTCCGACTCTGGTCTATCATCACTTGTATGGAGCGTAGGTGACTTCATTTTTGGTTTCCCATCTGCGTGCTTCATCTTGGCAGCAGTATGAAGTTTCCTGGCAGTCCTTCCAGCTTTTCCTATCACTGCGTAGGTGTACTTCAGTCTCTGATAGGGTTGTTTTGTCCTGCCCTTCGTGGTTTTTCAGGACCGTCATCTTATGCCGAATAATGTCGCCTCATATCGTGCAACGCTGGCGGAGCTGCTCCAGCTTGCGTTTGGTATTAATGTTACGCCTGCTCCTTTCCGCAAGCTGTCTCGTGCATTGTTTCACCACTGGCCTGCTCATACGCCACGTGAACTGTCCTGATCATTGGACTGGGTGTTCTCTTTTCTCTCTTCTCCTCCTCGATTTGTTGTGGCCTTTTGGTTCAGAACTATTTTTCTAAGGCTCTTTTCCTGTTGGCATTGGCCTTTGGGGGTCAGGCCGGGGTGCTTCATGCTCTCCTCCGGCACAGGCGTTTCTGCTCTTTTGGTCCTGGTTTGTTCAGTTGCAGACATCTCCTCCTTTTCTAGTGAAGAATGAGACCGCTGCTTTCCAGAGGGGTCCTTGGGTTGTTTAGGCCGGGGTTCATCATGTCATGTGTCCAGTTGTGGTTCTCCGCCGTTATTTACGCACTCGGCTTCAGTGGCCAGGAATGTGCTTTGTGTTGACTTGATTTCCTTCCTTCCCTGTTCTCGGGCTCAGGTCTCCCAGGTCATCCGCAGGGTTATTAAGTCTAGCCAGCCTGCAGTCTATCCTCGTGTCCACAACATTCGTAAGTTTGCTGCTTTTGCTGTCGTCTTTGGCAACATCTCTTAAGTTGACATTGGGCACTGAGTTTTTGGAGGTCGAACAGGGTCGTGGCCGCTCACTACCTTGTCAATGTCCTTGGACCTGGTAAGGCCTGTGTTGCATTGGGTCGGCGATTGCAGCCAGTTGTCTTGACTTTGCGTTAAGGAGTGAGGACTGACCGCCGCCCGGGTAAGTCCCTGTTTTTCCTTGTCTTTGGTCAATTAGCTCTGGGGAGCCAACGGGGCTTTCACCAGAAAACCAGCGTTGAATGTTATGAAATGCTATTTTCTGGTTGAGTCCTGGATGCTCCTCGGCATCCCTCCCTCCCTCCGGTTGGTGGTGTTTTTCGTGTGTTTTTGACATCCAGCTTAAGAACTGACCATTGTATTGCCAACACGAGGGTCTGGGGGCTACTCCTCCTCACTCCCAGGCAGGGGAGGGGGTTTCACAGACAGCAGCGCGGCAGTGTAATGACATCATAATTGTTTGCTAATTTTTTTTTTGAAGTTCTCTCCACTTGTTTGGCTTTTGTTAGCAATATTTTCACCAGAATTGGGATTTGTTTAGGGGCGCCTACCTTTCTGGATGCCAGACCCGGTTGATGGCAAACATAGAATGCTCCCAACCACAAGGGGGTTTCTATAGGCCATTGCTCCTCGTGCCTCATCTGAGGGGGGCCAGGTTCTGGCTCGTGGTCCCTGGTAGGCAGAACTCTATGCACTTTGGCTTATGCCAGAAAGCTAATTTTGTACTGTATATCCATATCAGCCTGGATAGCTCCTGGAAGCCTCCAGGACTCACCCAGAAAATGGCGTTTCATTACATTCAACGCTGGGTTTTTTGGCCTGTCTTCTCGATGGCTCCCTGGAACAAGGAACCTCTGAGCACCAGGCCAGAAAAACAAAATCCCCCACAAAACACCAGAGTTATATACATGAGCATTGAATTATATATATGAACAATGAATGATATATATAGATAAACAGACAATCAAAGTCACCTTAGTTTATGCCTTCAAAAACAGAGGTGAAGAGATTTATTTTAAATTTTTATTATTGCAGATTCTTCGAGACCATCTCCTGTTGTCTCATCCATTTTCTATCTCGTTGTTTGGTAACTACGTTTACTGGACCGACTGGAGAACCAACTCTGTGATCAGGTGAACAATATCCTCCTTGATACTATATGACATGTACCTAACTATATAACGTATTTGTGTTTAGAGGAACAGACCTATTAACCTGAATTTACCTGATGGTCACTAATACTAGTGGCCTCGATGAGGACAGGAAGCCGGTGGCTTCTCAGAGGTCCCCCCTCCCATTTATCCTGATGTATTGCGGTGAACTAGCCTTTCAAGGTAACGTTATCACAAATACAAAAAACACTTGATGGGTGGTACTATACTGTGCTATCTCTTAATAATCTTATGGAATAAATTGGATATTTATTCAGTAATGAAGAATGTTACATATAACTGTGTGTATAACGATCTATATACAGTGGTACCTCGGAATGCGAGTGTCCCTGTATGCGAGTTTTTCGGAAGACGAGCAGGATTTACTCCAAAAATATGTCTCGGAAGGCGAGGGTTACCTCAGGACGCGAGTTAGTTGATAGGTGTACAGGCCGACTGGCGCGTGGTGGCATGGCGATCGCGCCTCAGTTTACCAGTGTCTCGTGTCCAGTGACTATCCCACCTGAATTCTTCACAAGGATTTACAGTTTTTTATCGGTTTTTTGGCCATTTGAGCATAAAAGTTGTCATTATATATCTTGCCATGGGTCTCAAGAAAGCCATTGGTAAGGTTCAACCTAAGAAAATAGCTGTGAGTAGGGGCAGTAGAGGATGTCCCTTCTTGATTAAGAAAATGTGTGAAGTATGGGAAGAACTGCAAAGTTTTGTTGAAAAAACTCACCCAGATAAAGCTGTAGCAGGCCGTTGCATTGACCTTTTAAATGATAATGTGATGTCTTACTACAGACAAGTGTTAAAATGTAGGGAAAAACAAGTGTCATTAGACAAATTCTTAGTAAAACAAGCAAGTCCTAGTGGTATGCAGGCAAAATGTGCCAGAGTGTGCATACCAGTGAAGTCCTCACTGCCTGATGTGATAATGGAAGGGGACTCCCCTTCCAAACAGTAACTCCTCTCTTCCTCCCACCTCCTCACCATCTTCCATACGCCTACAGCATTCAACAGCAAGGTAAGTAATAACTTGAACATAGTTTTGTAGGTTTATTTAGATGAATTAGGTATAAAAATTTAGTTTGATGTGGGGTTTTTGGGGTAGTTAGGAACGGATTAATACATTTCCCTTTATTTCTTATGGGGAAATTAGCTCCGGAATGCGAGTTTTCGGAATACGAGGCGTCTCCAGGAACCAATTAAACTCTTAAACTGAGGTATGCCTGTATATTTGTTTTATTTATTTATATATACAGTGCAGTGGTACTTTTGTTTACGAATTTAATCCTTTCCAAGAGACGGGTTGTAAACCGAAAAATTGTAAACCGAAACAAATTTTCCCATAAGAAATTATGTAAATTGAATTAATCCGTGCCACACATTCAAAAATATTAACTTCGAAATGAATTTTATACAGAATACTACTCATGTGTGGCACTACAGTATATCTTACCTTTACTGAGGACTTGTTGGCATATGGAAGATGGTGAGGAGAGGGGAGAGGAGGAGGAGGAGAGGTGTTAGTGTTTGGAAGGGGAGTCCCCTTCTATATAACATCAGGTAGTGATGACATTTCTGGGGTGCTCTCCCTCCTACATTGTGCAGGCATAACACTAGGACCTGGTTGTGGCTCACTGAGTGCTTGTCTTACTAAGAATCTGTCTAAAGACACTTGTTTTCCCTACGTTTTAACACTTGTCTGTTGTGAGACATCACTATGAATGATCTCTTGTTTTTCCTTTATCGTCATCCTCACAGTTAAAGTAGATTGAACTTTACCACTCATTTTCTTGGGACCCAAGGCATGATATATAATAAGAAGTTTTATATTCAGAAACCAAAAAAGTAGTAAAACAATTAAATTGTTTACAAAGAATTTAAGCGCGGTCGTCACTAGGCGAGACACACTGGTAAATTGAGTGTGCCTCGCCTGCGCCCAGCGGAACCATGCACTCACTCGACCCATACAAGTATCAACAGATGTCATATTCCAAGGCAAATGTCGTACACCAAGTCAAATTTTACGAGGAATTTGACATCGTATACCACAAAAATTGTAACATAGGTCAGTTGTCAACAAATGTACCACTGTATACAAGAAGGTACATTGGATTTATAAGAGTACATAGCATTGATGTTTTTACATTCTTGTGAAGCCACTAACATGTATGGCGTTTCGGACAGGTCCTTAATCTAACAGATAATTTTAAGTAGGTAATTTGTAGCAAAATTTGAAGAATGTTAACATGTACATTGTAAGAAAATTTGAAGAAAATTAATATGTACCTAATAGTAAAATTTGAGGATTATCAACAGGTACATTGTAGCATCATTTGAGGATTATTTCTAGGTACATTGTAGTAACATTTCTAGGTACAGTATATTGTAGTAAAATTCATATGGGAGAATGAACCAGAAATGATGCTGTGTGTGTGTGTGTACTCACCTAGTTGTGTCTGCAGGATCGAGCATTGACTCTTGGATCCCGCCTTTCGAGCATCGGTTGTTTACAGCAATGACTCCTGTCCCATTTCCCTATCATACCTGGTTTTAAAATTATGAATAGTATTTGCTTCCACAACCTGTTCCTGAAGTGCATTCCATTTTCCCACTACTCTCACGCTAAAAGAAAACTTCCTAACATCTCTGTGACTCATCTGAGTTTCAAGCTTCCATCCATGTCCCCTCGTTCTGTTACTATTCCGTGTGAACATTTCGTCTATGTCCACTCTGTCAATCCCATTTTGTATCTTATACGTTCCTATCATGTCCCCCCTCTCCCTTCTTCTTTCTAGTGTCGTAAGGCACAGTTCCCTCAGGCGCTCCTCATACCCCATCCCTCGTAGCTCTGGGACGAGTCCCGTTGCAAACCTCTGAACCTTTTCCAGTTTCATTATATGCTTCTTCAGATGGGGACTCCATGATGAGGCGGCATACTCTAAGACTGGCCTTACGTAGGCAGTGTAAAGCGCCCTAAATGCCTCCTTACTTAGGTTTCTGAATGATGTTCTAACTTTTGCCAGTGTAGAGTACGCTGCTGTCGTTATCCTATTTATATGTGCCTCAGGAGATAGATTAGGTGTTACGTCCACCCCCAGGTCTCTTTCATGCGTCGTTGCAGGTAGGCTGTTCCCCTTCATTGTGTACTGTCCCTTTGGTCTCCTATCTCCTAGTCCCATTTCCATAACTTTACATTTGCTCGTGTTGAATTCCAGTAGCCATTTCTCTGACCATCTCTGTAACCTGTTCAGGTCCTCTTGGAGGATCCTGCAATCCTCATCTGTCACAACTCTTCTCATCAACTTTGCGTCATCCGCAAACATCGACATGTAGGACTCTACGCCTGTAAACATGTCGTTAACATATACAAGAAATAGAATTGGTCCCAGCACCAATCCTTGTGGTACTCCACTTGTTACTGTTCGCCAGTCCGACTTCTCGCCCCTTACCGTAACTCTTTGGCTCCTTCCTGTTAGGTAGTTCCTTATCCATGCTAGGACCTTTCCCCCCACCCCCGCCTGCCTCTCGAGCTTGAACAGCAGTCTCATGTGCGGTACTGTGTCTCATGTGTGTGTACTCACCTAATTGTACTCACCTAATTGTGCTTGCGGGGGTTGAGCTCTGGCTCTTTGGTCCCGCCTCTCAACTGTCAATCAACTGGTGTACAGATTCCTGAGCCTATTGGGCTCTATCATATCTACATTTGAAACTGTGTATGGAGTCAGCCTCCACCACATCACTTCCTAATGCATTCCATTTACTAACTACTCTGACACTGAAAAAGTTCTTTCTAACGTCTCTGTGGCTCATTTGGGTACTCAGCTTCCACCTGTGTCCCCTTGTTCGCGTCCCACCAGTGTTGAATAGTTCATCCTTGTTTACCCGGTCGATTCCCCTGAGGATTTTGTAGGTTGTGATCATGTCCCCCCTTACTCTTCTGTCTTCCAGTGTCGTAAGGTGCATTTCCCGCAGCCTTTCCTCATAACTCATGCCTCTTAGTTCTGGGACTAGTCTATTAGCATACCTTTGGACTTTTTCCAGCTTCGTCTTGTGCTTGACAAGGTACGGGCTCCATGCTGGGGCCGCATACTCCAGGATTGGTCTTACATATGTGGTGTACAAGATTCTGAATGATTCCTTACACAGGTTCCTGAACGCCGTTCTGATGTTAGCCAGCCTCGCATATGCCGCAGACGTTATTCTCTTTATGTGGGCTTCAGGAGACAGGTTTGGTGTGATATCAACTCCTAGATCTTTCTCTCTGTCTGTTTCATTAAGTACTTCATCTCCTATTCTGTATCCTGTGCCTGGCCTCCTGTTTCCACTGCCTAGTTTCATTACTTTGCATTTACTCGGGTTGAACTTCAACAGCCATTTGTTGGACCATTCACTCAGTCTATCCAGGTCATCTTGTAGCCTCCTACTATCATCCTCTGTTTCAATCCTCCTCATAATTTTTGCATCGTCGGCAAACATTGAGAGGAACGAATCTATACCCTCTGGGAGATCATTTACATATACCAGAAACAGTATAGGTCCAAGGACTGACCCCTGCGGGACTCCACTTGTGACGTCTCGCCAATCTGAGACCTCACCCCTCACACAGACTCGTTGTCTCCTGTTGCTTAGGTACTCCTCTATCCACCGGAGTACCTTCCCTCTCACTCCAGCCTGCATCTCCAACTTTCGCACTAGCCTCTTGTGTGGCACTGTATCAAAGGCTTTCTGACAATCCAAAAATATGCAGTCTGCCCACCCTTCTCTTTCTTGCCTTATTTTTGTTGCCTGGTCGTAGAATTCAAGTAACCCTGTGAGGCAGGACCTGCCATCCCTGAACCCATGTTGATGCTGTGTAATTACCTAAGTGTAATTACCTAAGTGTAGTTACAGGATGAGAGCTACGCTCGTGGTGTCCCGTCTTCCCAGCACTCTTTGTCATATAACGCTTTGAAACTACTGACGGTCTTGGC